GCCCGGGGCCGGCTTGCTGCGCAGAGCCACCGGCAGCTCCTGTTTCGCTGGACTTGAATCTTTTGCCTGGTCTCAACCCGCCAGTCTGCAATGTAGGTACCCGAACCCAGCGGTGGGATGTGGAGTGCAGGAGAAGCTGGAGAGTACTCTGTGTGTAAAGAGTGGAAGTGGGGTGTAAGCGGAGATTCTGGCCCTTTCTATGTGAGGTACTGGCCCTTTAATCGTGGGGGCCTCAGCGTCTCCTTTGCGTGTGTACAGTAGTGTTTGGAGTGTGTGTGGCTTTTATGGTGGGTGCTTAGCCAGGTCCTGTGGCCGATGCCACCGTGGAGTTCCTGGGGATAGGGCGAGACTGAAATGTGTTGGTAGTTTGTGCCCGCAGGTCCTTGGCCCTGGAGGGATATGGTACTCCAAACCATGGGTGAGAAAAGCCCCTGTGGGAAGTTGGGAGTGTAAAAAATATTTGCAGAGCATGTGAATCTCTGGAGTGTACAGCACCTTGCCTAGATGGTGTGGGTACGGGGTGGGAGGAGGGTCTCTCTACCGCACTGTCGCCCTTGGCAGGTCCACATGGCCCGTGTGGGATGTTTGTGGCGTGAGACCCTGAGGGCGTGTGCCCCTGCGTGGCTGCGGGGGCGGTTTTGGAGAGTGCATCCTGTGTGTTCTCGTGCGTGCGGGGTGGACGGAGTCATGCACTCAAGAGGGCTAAGGCTGGGCTTTGCGCCCCTCCCCACTTAAAAACGAAACGTTTGGAAACGTGTATACGTGTATGCGGTTGTATGCAGAGATGACTTTCCTATGGCCCCAACACACTTCGGCAGGAAGCAAAAGTTTAAAGCAAAGTCTGAGTGTGGTGGGCGAGGCCTGGAGGTGACAGCGACAGGGGCAGTAGACTACTGGGTCCCCAAATATCCACACACACACCCCACCCCCTCCCCCCCCACCCCCATGAAATGGGAGATGCCAGAGCTGAGGCCCTGGAACCCTTTTCCAAAGCGGTAATAAAAAGCTGGGGACTGAGAAGCAGTAAAAATGAAGTCCAGATGAGAGGCGGCTTTGAAGCCTGGGCCGCAGTGCCTGGCGGGGGTGGGGTATGGGGAGGGACCGGGAGGGGAGCTTGGAACACCCCCCAAATTTACCCGGGGCTGGAACGGGGCTTGCAGCGGGCGCGGGACG